CATTCATTTTTCCTTTCACCACATTCATTTGAAACTCCCATGACTTTTCAATTTCTTTCTAATAATAATTATAAGTTGGTTAATAAGGTTAAATAAATATCAAACCTAAAGTTTAATCATATATAAACTAAATTTCAATATTAAAAGAATATTTTTACTTCTACTTATTAAGTTATGTTTTTTAACTTTTAACATATTATACTTAATTTATTAGTTTTAATATATTGTTGGATGTAACCATTATCATTTTAAAACTACAACTTTTGAACAATTTGTATAAAATACTTAAATTATTAATTTAAATATAACATTACAAGGTCAACTTAAATATAAATTTTAGTTGAACTTAAACAACCTAAAGAATATTTTGTAAATAGTTAAAAGTGATAAATTGTAGAGTATTTATGATAATGATTATAAGTTGGTTAATAAGGTTAAATAAATATCAAACCTAAAGTGTAATCATAAATAAACTAAATTTCAATATTAAAATAATATATTTTACTTCTATTTATAAAGTTATGTCTTTAACTTTTAACATATTATACTTAATTTATTAGATTTAATATGTTGTTGTATGTAAATCATTATCAGTTTAAAACTACAACTTTTGAACAGTTTGGACAAAATACTTAAACTGTTAATTTAAATATAACATTAAAGTGTCAACTTAAATATAAATTTCATTCCACTTAAAAAACCCAAAGAATATTTTGTGAATAGTTAAAAATGATAAATTGTAGTGCTAAATGCAAAAAGTAAATTGCAATATCAATTTAACTAAAATATTTCGTAAATATATTTTTATACTCGTTAAAAGTTTTCAAATAAGTAGTTTAAAATAACTTACAAGAAAAATAGTTAAAAATAACTCTATATAAATGATTATATTGTTACCTTTAAAATTAAAAAACAATGTTTGATGTTTTAAATAATTATAATGATAGAAATTAAAACATTAAGCAAATAAATTTAAAAAAATTAATTAACAATAACAACTATAAATAACATTAAACCATATATTATATTTAATTTTATTAATGAGCAACTTACGGGTGGAAATCATTCAAACGATTGAGATTATCCAGTTATAATAAATATATATATTATTATATAATTCAAAATAATCAATATATTATATCAATTTAGAATACGAATCACTATATCAAATTTAACAACGCTATTAAAATTTAACAACGCTATTGTTATTTTAAAAAAAAAAACACATATTTATAAAGATTTCAACAAGTGTTTCTGCGCAACGCCCGGACATCCGTCTAGTTTAGCATAAAATGAGTAAAGTAAACAATAAAACAGATACCCCTAAAAAGAGAGAGAAAGAGAGATATCTTTATATTATTTACAACTATCACTATATGATATGATATATGGCCTCAAAATTGGAGAAACTTTTCTAATTCATCTGCTGTGTAGATTTCATACCATGTTTTTATATATATATACACTTGACTTGACTCAAACGTCTTCATAAATCAAACGGGCTAAAAGGGACGTTCAAAATTGGCATCTTCGACACCGTAATGTTCCCTCTAGCAACACCGAGCGCCACCGTATCCTCCACCGTAACAGGCTCAACTTCCACTATCGTCTCCGGCACAATCTTCTCTCCCTCCACCTTCGCCAACACCTCATACTCCATCTTCACACTCTCCGGCTTACTTCTCCACTCTGGATATCCTTCCAAAAACGATTCATTCCCGTTCAGCTTCTTCTCCGCCCCAAAACCCATCTTCACATACATCTGAGCAGATACATCCGCTCTCAAAAGCTTAAACGAACCACCATTGTTTCCGGTGGAGGTCAGGACTGCAGATAGCAGCTTCTCTAGCCCACGCAGGTTTGAGTTCGACCCATTAATGGATGTCATCGGCCAGAAAGTGGGAAAATGACCGGGAGAAAAGAAGGTATCATCGATAACGGATATTGAGTTGCTTGTGTTTACCTTTGGGACGGAGGATAGTTCGACTAAACCAGGAGCAAGTCGCTTTAGCTTCAGCTTGTTGAAAGTCGGCGATGGTGTCGCCGGAGAATTGAGGGATGTGGGGCCTGTGATACGGAGAGAGAGGAGTTGGGTTCCGGTACGGAGGTGGTCGGAAAGTGTTTGGAGACCGGAAGCAAAATTGTTGTTTGATTTGTTGAAAGGGAGTGGGAGGTCAAGAGGGTGGCGTAAACTGACGGATTTGGCGCCTTTCACTGTCACCACCGCGCCTTCTGCTAGAATTACTTTCTTCAGCTCACCGGCGTCAACATCATGCTGTACATCGTTTACAATGTTAAGAAAAATCGACAGAAAACGTTTTTTATTATATGAATCGGAATAAAACTTACTGGCAGAAAGAGTCTCATGTCCTTGGCGTCTTGAATCCAGAGCTCCATCGGACCGGCGAGCTGGAATGGGGGTAAACTCGGCAACCGGTTGCCGGAAGTCTGCTTCTTCTGTACAAGTGGATTCTCGCCGGATAATTTGATCGGATCTTCCACTAGGAAAGTAGGCAAATCGACATACTCCCATTTGTTTACATCGTCCAACAATTTAATTGGAAGAATTTTGTTATCAATCTGTAGATCAAACTCCATGGATTGAGCTACTAAAGCACCCTTCAAATCAAACCCAAATAAGTTGAAATTGTCTGATTGACTCCCTAATCCCTGAACAATAGCCTCCTTCAAATCCTAAAAAACAAACCAGGTAAAATTAGATACAAATTTCCCTCACAGAGCAAAAGTCAAACGCAGAAGCAACCAAATATTGATATAAAGGAATCGACATTAAAACGTCAAAATTCATAAATTACTTACAGTTAACGCTTTAGGATAATGACGATTAACATCTGGCATCGAGATAAGAGCTCTTATATCAGAAACTTGTATTATCAAAGCGAACAAACACACATAACCTGCGAAATTCAAAGCCCTAAAATCCATCGATACGTGAAGAATGATGGCGAAGAGGATGATTAATAAAAAATATATATAAGTTCTCAAATCAAAAAGAGATTCGATTTGAAGTTGTTCTTGTATTTTTGAGATTTTATACTTCGAGATTTAGAGGCAAAAACGGTTAGAACTTGGAAGATGATTCTAGAGTCCGTAGGTATGACGCAGATATCATACGTGGGTAGATATAATTGGTCCACATCGGATTGGCTCACGTGGAAGTCAATCATGATTGGGGTATTTGAAGTCAAAGTCAATCGTGAGTTTTAGGCTTAGGGGTTTTCCCGATCAAACGAAACCGTAGTAGATGAGAAAACGGACCACATATCCCGATCAAACGACGCCGTAGTAGATGAGAAAACGGACCACATAAATTCGATTTTAAGAGAGTAAATTACAGAAATGGTCCCTGTGGTTTGTTCAAATTCACATTCGTCCGATCTTTGAAAAGTTGATAAGTCACATCCGGTGGTTTTCAATTATTGCAGTTTTCGTCCTTTTGTCTAACTCTATTATAAAAAGTCCGTTAAAAGCGTGTAAAATGACTAACATGCCCCTCCATCCTTCTTCCTATACTACAAATCGATAACCTTGTCTCCATCATTACATTGCCCTCTCCCCACCTCCATCATGAACGACTTCCCCCACCCCACCATCATTATCGCATCCTCCTCTATCCCTCTCCGTTAGGGGTGAGCATTTGGACCGGTGGACCGGATCGGACCGGACCGGACCGGACCGTTTTTTTGGACCCCCGGGCCAGTTCTCGGTTCTAGGAATCCATCCCGGTCCGGTCCGGTTTTTACCGGGTTTAGAACCGGTTGGACCCGATTTAAAAAAAAATTGTAATCTGTGAAATTTTTTAAACAACCATAACTCATTCGTTTTAAATCGGATTGACACGCGGTTTTTTCCAACGTTCAACTTACAGTTTGTAGATGAATTTAGACTATAGTTTTGTTGATTTTGGTATAGTATTCAATGAGTTATAGACTTTCAAAGTTGAGCTATCAAAGCTGAAAATTTTCAGCTTTCCAGCAACATTTTTAAAATTTTGTAATCTGTGAAAATTTCTAAACAAGCATAACTCATTTATTTTAAGTCGGATTGACATGAGGTTTTTTTCCAACGTTTAATTTACAGTTTTTAGATGAATTTAGACTATAATTTTGTTGATTTTGGTATTATATTCAATGAGTTATAGTCTTTCAAAGTTGAGCTATCAAAGCTGAAAATTTTCAGCTTTTCAGCAAGTTTTTTAAAATTTTGTAATCTGTAAAATTTTTTAAACAACCATAACTCATTCGTTTTAAGTCGGATTGACCTGAAGTTTTTTTCCAACATTTAGTTTACAGTTTGTAGATAAATTTAGACTATAATTTTGTTGATTTTGGTATTATATTCAGTGAGTTACAATCCTTCAAAGTTGAGCTATCAAAGCTAAAATATTTCAACTTTTTAACTATCATTTTATACTATAATTCTGAATTTTATGTATCTTTGATAGATAAATCATATGAAAGGGATCTTGGTGAACTTGATTTATATGTTAGTTGATTTTATTTGGAAAATTAATTTTGCAACTTATAATATTATAACATCAAGGTAGATTAGTTATCCATGAAACAGAAACATAATCCTTTTTATAAGTTGTATCGTATCAAACCTAAAAACTTATTTTAACGACTTGTACTCTATGCAATTAAAGTTGTATCGGTCCAAACGGGTCCAAGAACCGGAAAACCCGGACCTGGACCTGCACCCGGACACGGACACGGACACGACTCATCAGGTTCGGTCCATGGTCCGCAATATTCTCCATAACCGGTCCGGTCCAAGCGCCAGTCCGGTCCGGTTCGTTCCAAATGCTCACCCCTACTCTCCGTCGCACCATTTAATTGCACCTACTTCACACCTTTTACTCTTATTCATCAAAGTGAATTCCAGACACATATTAGTGAGAGAGACAACAAAAGGATCAAAGAAATCCATGTTGATGGCATCACTTGCCACCTGCCTTATCCCATTACCTCCCTCATCTTATGGTTGTCATCCCTTCCGACGATACCGTGTGTCGGCTGACACCATCAACACTTATCTCCTCCTACAGCAGAAATTCTCTCCCAACACCTTTGCTTTCCTTTTTTTCCTTTGTATGTTGATGCTTTAAGACAGATAGAAGTTCAATCAATTGGGAATGTTTTTTTATTTTTATTTATTTTTATTTTTAATATGATAGACTAATACAAATGACATGAATGAAGCAATGTAGGTAGTTTTACATCAAATCACATTAGAATGTGGTTTTTGGTATCTACTTTTCCACTTTCCCCTTCCTTCCGATCTAATTGTTGTCCTCTGTTGGTGCATGAAATCTCATAAGATGTTTGGTATCTAGTTTTTTGCTTGTTTTTGTGCAACAAATCCTTTAAGAATTCATGTTTTTGGTTTATAGTTAGATTCGGTGATGTCCATAACATCCACTTCCAAAGTGTTGTGTGGATGTGGTGTTTTGATTCGATCGGATTGCTTAGACAAACAAGTTGGAGGTTGAAGATTACTTTTTTAAGAAGATGACCAAAGGGCTGATCGGAAGAGTAGCGATGAAGGGCTGATCGGAATACAACATTGCCTTAAAGATAAATAATAATAAAATAATAAAGAAAAAAATTAAAAATAAATAAATGAGGGGCATGTTAGTCATTTTACACGATTTTAACGGAATTTTTCTAACAGAGTTAGACAAAATGACGAAAACTGCAATAATTGAAAACCACAGGGATGCAACTTATCAACTTTTCAAAGGTTGGACCAAAGCTGCAAATTTAAACAAACCACTAGGACCATTTCTGTAATTTACTCATTTTAAGATTAGGTTATGTTTTGTTAAATTTTTTTTATTTTTTATTTTTTTTTATTTTTAAGTTATCTTGTTGATATTATATTATTTGGTTATATGGTATTGATGTGACCATCAAAAATACAAAAAGAAAATGACATAAAAATATTAAGTTTTTAATTTTTTTAAAAAAATTTTGATATTCATTTTTTTTAATAAAAATCAAACATTATTATTTTTTTGTTTTTATTAAATATCTGATTATTTTCCATTTGAAACTGTATAAATATTTTTTTTATATTTAAAAATCATTTTATATATATATATATATATATATATATATATATATATATATATATATATATATATAAAGTTTGACTAAGTTAGGAATAATAAATTTTTGTTGACCTTGCTTGGTTTGAATCTTCTAACTCTCTCCGACCAGGCGTCTCAAACCTCAAGCTCACCTTCGTCATCACCATCGCCATCTTTAAAGGTTGTTCCCTTTTTTCTAGGGTTTTTTCCCGTATCTATATGTAAGCGACCTCATACGTGTTTGTTTTGTTTTTTCTATGTGACGGGAAGAGAGTTGAAACCGATGATACTGTCTCTGATACTCCTGCTAGATAGGAAACGTTTTTGCTTCGCTTATCGCTTCTCTTTTTTTTTTCTCTTTTGCTCATAAAGTATTCCCCCCACTTTATTTTGGGTTTTTTCCTCTTATATTGTTATACGCTTCCGTATATCAACAACGTGTGCTTTTTGTGTTCTATTTCCAGTGGTTATTGATCATCGATGTTCCTTCCACTTTCTTTCTGTTCCCTTCTTCGATTCTACCCTTCATCAGTTTTTCATTAACCCTTTATGATCTTTGAATCAGGCCCTTAACTCATCGACAACTTTCTGCCTATGATCTTATTGCTTGGGATTGAATGGATGAGAATAATGTTGTTTCCAGAAACCTCAATTAATTTGTTACTTGAGCAATGTAAGTTGCTTCTCCATCCTTCTCTTTTCCCCTAAAATGAAATTATAATGTTATCTGCACATGAACGTGATCTATAATGAATGTTCTTTTGCATGCCAGTGGTTGAACAAAATGAAACGCAAGCCAATGCTTGCAGCTATTGAAAAAAATGAAAGAAGGTAATTGGTATATCATATATGAAAGCTATTAATATTGTAGATCCGATCTTTCTACATCTTTCACTGTTCTCATAAAATCATCATCATCATCATCATCATCACGTGATTGTTGTCTGCAAGGTTGATGCTTCTTGGCTTCATATCACCCCTTCTTGTAGTTACCTCCAGCAGTACATCCAATATTTGTATCGGTCCAAAAGGTACGTTTTTCGAATTTCACCCAGAAGTTACGTTTCATATGGTGAATTTTTACCAACTGCACATGATTATCTTTAGGATTGATTTATGGGCTTTTGATTGTTTTGAGAATTCTAAACCCCAATAGTGGGAAGAAATCCACCTTTATTCATATATTTGAAGCTAATGGATGATAATCTAAGAATATTAAGGAATAAATTTACCTTTTTTCTTATTGCAGACTGATCATTACAAAGCATATTAAAAGAGAAGATAATTTGCCTCACTTTTTGGCTTCAAATGATGCATCATTCTGTAGGTAATTTAGGATTTAAGATCATGAGCTACATAAACAAAAAAATAAATAATAGCCTTTTTTAATCTATGTTATCTTTTCATAATAACAATTATATTTGTCTCCCCAAAACGGAAATAGAAGTTGCAGTTCATGATAATAAAAGAATAACTGAAGTTACCAAGGATCCTACATGATTGTCTTTATTGTAATTATGGTTACTCAACAACTTATGAAATAATATAGAATAGGTGACAGTTGCCTGAAAGGACTACCTGACCTTCCTGCAATTTAATTCCCTAATGAAATCAACTACCTTTCTAAGTGCACTAGATCGATGTGGTCCAATGGCTAAAGCTCTGACAGCTTCTTGTAGACTTACTACCCATGGATTGAAGGTCTTTCAACCTTCAATCCAGGGACCAAAATGTTACAGAAGCTGATATTTAAGAATTAAAATTGGAAGCAAAAACTCTTTTAGGAACAGCATTAGAAAATATAAGCTATACTGAAGGACCAAAAAGCAATGTCGATGGGTTAAAGGTTAATGAGATACCACCGATGTCCACTTTAACTTACTGTAAGTTAAATCTAACCATGACGATGCATCATCAAAGTGGTCCTTTTTTTTTGAATCTTATAAGTTTATTACTAAATTTATGCTGGTGGTGGGAAAGTAATGAAGGGTATTGTCTAAAGAAATGAAGACACGGAGTCGGTAAAACCATAATTGTCAATAAATGAGCCACACCACCCAAAACATTCCCATATGTGTTAAAAAACTACATATATTTTTCAAATCTTATAAAAAAAGTTATTTTAGGTGATTTGGTTAAATTAGTTGACATTGTATTAAAACCCGATATTAGGAGATGATTAGTACGGTCATATTTTTTTTTATATACAATAATTTATGTTCTAAAAGGCTGTATAATATACAAATTGTACAATCCTTTAAACATATATATCATTGTGTATGACAAAAAATCGTTGTGTTAGTAAATGTTAACAACAATCGATTTATGACATATTAGTATATTACAATGAATTATTTTTAGAAACTTTGATGACTTAATGAATAACTTTTAAACTTTAGCGAATTCAAAAGTTAGATGAGAATTGATAATCATTATCATTTATTACGTTTAAATCCTAAAATCTGCAATAAACTTGATAATTAAAATTGTTGAAGAGGTTAAGAGGCAGAGAGGCAAAGAGCTCTGACACAGAAGATTTAATTCTCTCTAGGCAAATCTTTTTTTCATGATAGCAACTATTTTAAGAAAGAACAAAAAGTAAGGTTACATCATATAATAGAAAACTTTGAAACTTTTTAGTAAAACATATCTAAGAGAACTATATGTTGGAATCTTGCCATTGATATGTAGATTTATGCAGAAAACGTAACTATATATGTTTCTTTAATAAAATCGATGAAAGATTATTCAACAATAATCAATAAGTGATCAATGAAAACCTAAAAGCATTTAACATAAGTTTTCGAGTTTATCTAATCATTCTTTATGTTTCAGATGTTCAAGAGGAATGTGCAAAGCTTGGTACACTTGAATCACTCAAGGTAGCATTGACTTTTTATTTTTTTTAAATGTTTATTCCTATTACTAACATAAGCAATGTACTTTATTCCTGTTACAAACATGATTTCTTAAGTATAATTTGATTTATTTATTTTTATATGCATTCAAAAAAGAATTAATGATCTTTTCGTTTCTTTGTAGGACAATGACAATTTTGAGTTCATCGGGCCAACTTTGTTCACAATTTATTGTTAGTACATTGCTATTTCAAGATGCTTTAATGTTGTTATAATACTATTTTTGATTTTATTATTAGAATTTTCTTTTAGAATATGTGCAGTTTCATGTATAATTCCACTTGGTAAATAATATTTTCTTGAAATTTGTTTCTTTCTCTACAAATATATTGGGTATTTTTTGTTTAGGATTGGAACACTTATGTGAGTTAGAGATTTATTAAAAACACAATTGATTCAATAAAATCTATAAATGGACACGGGATCTAAATAAGATATGTTTGGCTTGATTATAGTCTGTCGAGTACGAGAGAGAATTTTGAGTACAAAAGAAAATGACGTTCAGATCGTTACCCTATACTCTATGTACTTACCCTATTTATACGGTACAATAGACTAACAAAAAATTACAAGGACTAAACATTATGTATCAAAACTGAAATGCCTTATAAAATAGATAATGTGTCAAAACCATTCTACTTTCGACACCTTATAGACACAGACTACTTTCGACTTCTCACGATACACATTCGACCCAACATTCTCCCCTTTAGTGAGAAAAGTCAAAAATTAAGCAATCAAATTTGCCGTCAGTAAAAGCTCTCTTCTGATTTCCATATACCACAAGATTGTCTTCCTTATCTCTGCCTTGTCTCCATCATCATTCTTTTTGCAGTTGTTGATTCGAATTAGGATGTTTGTGAAATGAGAATTTGTATATCTTTCCAAGTCAGACAATTGAAACAAAAACTTCGTCAAATTCCCTCTCTTGTTCTTTCCCTAGATCACAACACCATAAGGCTGATGAATGATTTCACCGTCTTCAAATTCATTGATGTCTAATTTTGCCTTTGCCAGAGTTTGTGGCACTTTTGCATTATTCTTGATAGTAGTGGCAAGATCATTATCTGTGATAGCCAAATATTCATAGTAGCTATACAGAAAAGCTTTAATATGACCAAATCCAATAATAAAGTCATTTCGATTCATCTCAGGGATCTTTGACACGTCCACATTGATCAATATCTTTGTAAATGAGATAAGATCATTCAAATTCATCAAAGGGAAATCAACAACTATGAACTCACACTCGACATTGTTTGCTCTTACAACCGAGTAACAAAAGTTCTGAAGCAAACCCTCGAACAGAGTATCCCTTTCGATTTTCATCACTTTCACAATCTTCACCAATGACCATACTTCATCTTCATTCTTTCCTAAGATTGCATGAAAGCGAATCTTCAGCCTTTTGTATTCATTTTTGTCTGTGAAGTTATCTGCCAATTTGAACTGTGGAGATGTGAAAAGCATGTGATTAATTGGAAAATCGAGTTGATTGAAATCAGAATTTTCAGTCTCAAAACTCATCTTTGGTCTTTTGAGAAATTCATCATTCTTCCCCAAAACAATTATTTCGATTGTTTCATAACACCAGTATTTTTTCGAATCACCTTTGTTCAAGCCTGGTGGGTCATTCTCTCTTTGTCTAAGAATGTTATTTATCTGCCTTTGACGTTCCAACTCTGCATCTTGTAGCTTCTTCTTTTCCTCATCTGATTGTTCAATTAGGATGACCTTTCCTTTGTCTTTCAGATCAATTGTTGAAGTTGTTTTTACAAGAGCATTACTCGAACTTCCTTCACCCTCTTTAATCGAAATACCTTTCAATGACACTCTCGACACATTGGTTGTTGTAGTCATTTTTGTCGAAGATATAGTTATTGGCTTCATGGGGATTGTTATTGGATTTTGAGTCGAAAGAACCTTCCCAAACCACGACTCATGTATCATCACCAGGAACTTTGGAAGATCCAGCTCCTCCAACTCTGTTATCTCCCCCATTTCGAGACTTGCACATCACATGGAGCATTAGTTGGTAAACTAAGTACCAAACTTAGGATTGGAGCCATCTCGACTTTGATGTTCGACTCAATATTCGAAACCATCTTTGAGATTGATTCTTGAGAGATGGTTGATTGATTCAAGAGGTCCACCTTTGATAAAGTTTCTTTAATTCTATATAAGAATTCTTCCACTTTCTCAAACACTTTTTCGTCCTTCTCAGACTTGACTTGAAGCTGCTTAGTATATTCAGGGTTGAATTCAACCAAACGAGTTATGACACCAGCAATAACATCGACTTTGCCATGCAATAACTTGTAATTTTCCTCCAGCTTCTTTACTTCTTCTGACATCAAAGATTTTATCTCAACAACCTTGAAGTCAAGAGGCTCCTTCGTTGCATTCACCTTTTCAATAAAGAGTTCATGACATTCAATTGCAACATCACGAAGCTTTTGAATTTCATAATCGAAACTCTTTGAATGAATAGCCAATCGTTCTGCTGGTTTCTGCTCCACACTCTCTATCAGATCTCGTAATCGTGATTCTTGATTTTTCATAAAATAATCCATTTTGAACCCAGTCACATAATTCTTTCCTCCAGTAGCTGCTGATATTTGAAGAAGAGAATTGATCTTTAAGTCGAGTATCTTGAATTGCCTACCTGACATTATTAGTTCATTAGAAATATCTTCTTCTTCTGGATTGAATTGAATATCAGCAAATGAAACCATGATATCTTCATCATCAGCTTTGTCTCGTTGAAGTGACTTCTCAGTTGATTGTGAGGAGAAAATAGTGGTGATAGGTTCTTGCATAACACCAAAAAATGTTGGTGAGACAGTCGAAACAGGAACGAAAGTAGGAATTGGTTATGTTGGTTGTGGTAAAGCTGTTGAAGTTGCAATGGAATTTGTGATAGTAGATTCGTTATTGATCATCTCTTCATCCATGTTGATATTTGTGTCCTTATTAGATAAGTTCACAGTGATGGCTGGAGTTCCGACCTCCTCCTGAACGGACTCCGTATTCGAAACCCCGGATGGTTTGACTAAAGCCTTCTCAGGGATGTTGGTTTGTTGTTGATCACCCGAATTGATGTTTGTATCCATATCAGATACGTTTACATTGACTCTAGGAATCCTCGTCTCCTCAAAAGTTGACTTGACAGGGGTATCCTTTCGTGGTGAACCAATAAAATAATCCTCGATTCGAATGTCTGACCTATCGTTATCACTACCATTTGTGGTCTTGACATTCACGTTCTTAAGTGGAATACGAACTTGATCATGCTTTGTCTTCTTTAAATGTTGAGCAACATCTAAAGCTCGACACTTCTTTGATGTTAGAGATCTAGGACTCGAAACTTCACGAACAATAACTCCCCTCCTGGTAAATTGTAACTTTCTAACCTTCTTTGTACCACCCTTAGAAGAAATAGGATTTGAGGGTTCAACAACACTGGGCTCAACACTTTCGACAATTGGCTCTTGAGTAGATGTCTTGGTTAAAGAATCAGAAGGTTTCTTAGTTGGTTTCTTAGTTTGTTTAAGAATCCCATTTTTTCGTTGGTATGGTTTTTTTAACAACCTCCTCCTCCACAAATTATGGTTATTCTACTTGTTTCTTCTTCTTTGTAGCCTTAGAGCCTTTCGATGTTCCTTCTACCCTTTTTGAGAAACCTTTGGTGGAATAACCCAAGTTGGATTAGAAGAATCAATAGAAGCCAAATATTGCACCAACAACTGATTTTTAGGACCCACCAGTTTTGTAACACCTGATTCCTGGTATGTATTTTATTCAAGAATTGTATGTATTTCCTCTGGGACTCGACGAGTTGGTGGCCCAACTCGTCGAGTAGAGACGGGATCCGCGGGAAGTTTAAGTGACCTACTCGACGAGTCGGAGACTGACTCGACGAGTAGGTGTTGTTTGAGTGAAACCCTAAATTTGAGGGTTTGTACCCTATTTAAACACTTTATCTCAGCCTCCATTGTCCTTATCACTCCCAGAGAGCTGTATATCGAAACCCTAGCCGTTTTTGTGTGTTCTAAGGCCATTTTTGGTACATTTGGTGGGTTGTGTAGCTTGGAGAAGAAGAAAGAAGCTTGAGAGTTCGAGTTGGGGCTTAGAGATTCAGGGATCTAGTTCCATTTTGAGCTCAATCAAGGTAAAATTCCCCTGTCTTGGTCTTCTATGTGTTTATTCATCTTTGGACTTGGGTTTTGGGCACATTTAGGGCTTTCCAATCCATATTCGGATTTGTGGAGTGTTATATGAGGTCTTGACTTCAGATCTGAGTCATTGGAAGGGTCTCATGGCATAAAGGTGCCAACTTTATGGCCATGAGAGCCCCATGCATCTTGTGGATCACTTTTAATGGCCTTTTGAGCCAAAGACCCCTTGCATGTGCACCAAGTTGGAAACTTTACGTGTAAAATGGACATTAGGGGACCAGATCTATGGTTTTTATGAGTTAAGACCCATCTAAATCGACTGTATAGTAATGGTCATGGATGGGCTCGACGAGTCGTTCTTGGGACTCGGCGAGTCGGTGTGTATTGAGCACCAAAATCCTTTCTGTGGATGGACCAGTTGTTAGGGAAGGAAGTCCCTTAGTTGTTTAGACGCAAAAAGGGGGCCTGGGAATCATGGGACTCGACGAGTGGATAAACAGACTCGGCGAGTCCAAGGCAATCTCCCAATCTTTGAAGATGAACTCGACGAGTTGTTCATACAACTCAGCGAGTCATAGACTGGACACATTCGTATGAGGGAGATGAACTCGACGAGTTCAAGGATGAACTCGGCGAGTCGGATGAAGATGGTCCCGATGGTTTGAATGAAGGAGAACCCGTCGAGTTCTTGCTAGACTCGACGAGTAGAGTCGGGGTTGGATCGGGTTAGTGAAGTATGGACTCGACGAGTTGGTAGACCAACTCGGCGAGTCAAGTCAACTGGGTATTGACTTTGTCCAATATTGACCTTGACTGGACTTGAGTTGACCCTGGTTAGGGGTGCATGTTCTGTTTGATGACTTGAGTGTTGTCGTGTAGGGATTGAGGAGTCGAGGAGAGCCGACCTTCACGCCGAGGACAGTTCCGACACTACGCGACATCGAGGTGAGTTACCTTCCAGTAGAAGTGGATCTAAGGCACCAAGGCCGGCCCACTAGTAGTTGTTTAGCTGAGACGATTGTCTTTGTGATAATTGTCTGGTCTGCTATTGCTTGATATGCGAGTATGCTGGTTTGCTTGATATGT